GTATGTATGCACACACACACACACATATATATATATATATATGAATATACTCTATAGTATATTTTCTAAAGCGACGACATGAATAGTATAGCTGACGGCGCTTGACTCAGGACGCCTGACAGTCACACTGTCACTGTTTCACAGTCTCACAGTGCAGTGCCCACACTCCGCAGACGTGATGATGAGAGTGTTGCACTGATGACAGTGATCTGACTATCTTCATTACGTTTCTCCTTAAAACGTAAAGAAAAGCGTTTACGTTTAAAGTTTATCCTAAATATAGTCCAATGGGTTTACAAATACGTATATTTTTTGAGGCGGCCTAGCTGTCACGAACTGTCCTATGTCACTTTGTGTCAGTTGTGAATAGTTTCAAATCGCCTTTTTATTAAAAAGGTCAATGTTTAAGGTGCAATTATGGAAAACTTTCATGGTCGATTTGCCCCCGATATACTTTAAAACGCTTAAAAATAACAATACTTTTTGCGTTTACGTTTAAAGTTTATCGCGTAAAGGCAAAACGTATAGAGCTTAGTGATCACTGAATGAATCACAGAATCAGTGATGTCACTGAGACAAGTCATGCTTTTTATGCCGGCCTTTTCTACTTTCAGTGTTTTAAATTTTATCCAATACAATCCTCGAAAGTAAGGAGCCACTTGATGATTGGATTGGGCCAGGTGATGATTGATGTCCAATCAGCTATGGCCGAGTAGGCAGGTATGTATGATTGTTATCTATTTAAGATTGTGACTTCACTCGACAACTTGGAATGTCTTGACTCTGTACCTCACAGAATACACCTTTTCAACCTAAAGAGCCTATACCCAACAAATATTGATTGTACTAACCAAGTTCGTGTTGGGTGCCTACCACCCCTCAGGGTAAATTATATGCTAAAAGCTCATATCAGCTAATATGCTATTGAAAATATCGCCATACAAAACAATAGGCGTCAAATTAAATCGGTTTACAATTTACAGCATGACAACCAAGAGACCTCAGAACAATGACAACCTTTATTCGAGGACAAATAAACTTTAAAACTTTGTCGAGCTGCCTGTCCAGTCCAATTCGTCTAGCGTAAACCCAGAAGTGGTACCAGCGATAGAAGTACCTCCGACGGATGCTGAGTTGCCGCTGAATACGCTATCCGCTGAAAACTCAACGGTGCCTCTGATATCTTGAGATGACCATTGCGAGAACACGCCGCTGAAAGTATTGACAAATATACAATCGGTTAAGATTTAATTAGATGGAGGCCAATCTGACATCGAGCCCACAAACTATGAACAACTCACTCGCACAAATTAGTCCTACTTACCCGTTTCCATCTAGAGCATTATTGTTCTTAAAAATACCTGTAATAATTATGGAAGGAGGTGAAGTAACGTGTTAGTGACACGCAGAGAGCGAAGAGTACGTAGACTACTCGGCTTGCAGCTCTAGCTTCTTATGCATTGATAGGTTTCTTCGAAGTTTACATTCCCTATCAACACTGATATACTTTTTAAAAGTCAGATATTTTTGCGGGGCTTGGTGCAGGTGTATATATTCTTCCTATGACGCAAAAATGTAGTACTCGTACCAAGTCAAATAGTCAATTACTTTGATTCATACCGGTGAACTTCAAAAGCGCCCCACTTTGGATGGTGTTCGACGCCATCACACCTGATCGCCCTTCAGCAGTATTCTCTGTAACCGACAAAGATTGGCGTTGCAAGATCAGACAGACAAATCATACTTTCAATATACTGTCAACTCTTTAATGATTAATAATAGATCAATGAAAGGATACTTTGTTATGCATATAATTACCTTCAAATCGACCCGACAGTGTCACCACAGATCCAGGATAATGATTAAGGATTCTCAATGCACCCGCACGAGCTCCTGCACCAGTGTCCACAGCACGATTACCCGTGAATGTGCCACTGACTTCCATAGTGCCTAAGATAGCCTGTACATGTGCACCTCCGCCCTGATTTGCACGATTGCCAACGAAACTCCCAGATAGCTGAACATATCTGAAATTGATAAAACATTAATGTGAACAAGTGTTCGCAATATTGGTAAACTTGCACACTGTATACGTCAAATTTCACCAGTATACTAGAGTGACTCACCCTTCCATCCAATCAAGGTAAATAGCCCCACCGTTGGCATGCTCTGCGATTTAAAATTTGAACCAGGATGAGAAAAAGTTCTGAAACGTATTGTGATTGTACATGTTAAATTGCTGCTATCCAGAAGGGAACCTCGATTTTGAAGTTGCCAAATCGCTTGTTTGCTACATACCACTTCCTCCCGGATATAGAGCACTGTTCTGAATAAACTTGCTGTCGAAGATGAGGCGTGAGTCGGCGTTGGCATTGATAATAGCAATCACCCCCCCACCCGCATATCTATCATCCACGTCAGAACTTACACGGTTGTTGGTGAACACTGACGAACTATCCATATAAACGCCTTTAGCGTTTCCTAGGAAGAACACCGCACCCGCTTTCTCACTAAGGAAATCATAAGCTTTGACATTGTATACTTTCAGTGACAAAGTTTGAGATCCGGAGTTATTCTCATCGCCAAGCCCTCTCAACGCACTCACATACTTGCCTGAAGCTGACGTAAGTTCGAGGTTCTGAAACTCAATGGATTGCACCGAGCCTGTTGGAAGGAGCAAGGCACTTCCGTCAAATGTTGCCTCAAGTATGGCGACCTCATCTCCACAGAGATGTCCAATTATCACTATATCCTTGTCGAAAGAAATAGGTGATGCCACCTGGATTTTTCCACCGATATGTATTTCGCCCCCAGCCTTCACAGCAGCCTCTAAAGACTCCGCGCACTTATTTCCGATTGCCACCTTCGCATAACATTCGCACACGTCAAAAGCCGCCGAGACAGCTATGGCAGCCTGGACTACAAGTAAGACCACAACGATCAGGTGTTGCAGACAAACGAACATCGTAGTGTATTGACTGAGTGTAGAATACTGTCTTTTTCCTTTTACACCGCTGTATTTATATGCTTCTCTAACGCATGTGTGGTTCAATTCGAGCGAAACAATGGTGCTGTCGTGGTGATTTTGTTCATGAAAAATCTATGTAGAAAAACCTGCTCAAATCTGACATCGTGGTAGATCAGAACCAGATCTCAACAATGTTGGGAAATGGCAGATGTATGGCGGCACGCGTAGAAAGCTTCAACCTGTGGTTTCCGAAAACTCCCGCAGTGATAATGGGACTAATTCATGCATGACTGTTTTTCACTCAAATCAACGATCTTTGTAGATCAAACTTTTTATCTTTTCATACCGTCCCCAATTGCTTCAAGAGTACGTGTCTAAATATTCGTAAAGCAAATCACAAATACCAAAGCTAAAGTTTTATTTACAGTGGTAATTACACCTCAAACTTCATCCGCACATTCATGCCATGGCCTGAACTCAGCGAAGGCTGTTGAGTCATATGATGCGAACGCAGAACTCGACTCATTTCGATTAATAATTTTTCGTAACTGAGGTTGGGGTAGTGTTTTTCCACGGCCTGTATGAATGAGAAGGTCATGGCTCCGGTCCTTGCGCCGCCTGAAAGGGCATTTGTATCTGTAATATTTAAATAAAGGTACTGTATCAGTTGCATGTCGCCACCGGTTCACGCGTGATTGAATATTTAGTGGAAAGCAGATATAAATAAATCCGCACTCGTGCGCCATAGTATAGGCCATCGCGAGCGACTTTAAGAATGCGCATACAGGCACTATATAGTAAGCGTAGCATTTACAGGAATGTGCTCGCACCGAACGCTCGCATCTACTAAAATATGCAATATGAATATCCTCGAACAGTTGTATCAGGTATTGAGAGTGTCTGACAACAGCCACTCGTGGAAGATTGTTGTAGACTAATCTCTAGACTTCCGATATCCCAGACACAGACTTGTAACTTTGCAGTTTGCGCCAGGAAGCTCTGCTATGATGTCATTAGTATATCTTTTTATAGGCCAAACAAGGATCTGACTAAACTTAAAGAAGAGATCACAATTGATATTATATAAACTACATACCGGCCGAAGTTTGATTATCTTGGCATCCGCTAAATAGGACCACCTCTCCCTTCGTTTCCTTCCCTCGTTTAACGGCTGACGTGACACGGGAGATGTAAAACAAGATTAAGCATACCAAGAAAGCCTAGCGTGGATATACTTGCATAAAATATGCATGCGAAATTCGAGATGCGGCGTATTTCCAGGCGTTCATTACAGTGACTAGATTCTGTATACAAGCCTCAGGCTGCGGAAGAATTGTATTTGAAGCTACAATCTTAAAGAGTTAGTCTTTCGGAACTGCGTTGCACGAAGCACGAATGGGATATGAAAATTACTAACTAATCGCTGAGCCCACTAATACGAGTACGGTGAAAAGCGAACGACCAGAAAACAGATTCAGCAGTCTAAATGTAAATCCTAGTAACTAGATGATCTCAAGCACGCACATCTAGAGAACATAGTCGCAGAAATTTCACGGATTGTACCTAGTGTGCCACGTTCTTGGCCGTAACAACGGAATCAATCAATACATCGATGCACCATATTTTACTATTCATAATCACCCATACCTCTCTGGTCAACGGCTTGCTTGATACCGTCCTTGCTCAAGGTATATGTATGGGGTAGATCAAGTCCTGTACCACTGTGGCAGCAGTCCATAACTACACGTGGAGAGTGCAAAACATATTAGTGATGAAACAATGCAGATAAACGGATATTTGGGGTTAGTTCTACAGTTTATTACTGGCAGTTTCGCTCTCATAAAAATTGCCATCACAGACCTGTGTGCGATCAGCTGCTGGCCGTGATCTAAGCAACGCAGATATTGTTGTAGCAGCGCTTAAGGGGAGCTGTTAGCTTGTAAAAACACATTGGAAACATTGTGCATACCTGATGTTAAACGGGTGCCTTGCGGAACCTTTGAAGCAATGTTTTTGTGTAGTTCATCATCCACTATATCACCAGCTTGTCTATAATCCATGGGGATGATGGTTTCGTCCATGCCATCAGCCTCATCTAGTGCGTAAATGAAGAAGGTTGAATATGTTTTTGTGCATCGGTTGTCTTTTGGTACAAAAAAAACATCGGCCCTTTTCGTCGAATGCATGCCCCTTGCTTAAGATAGAGATAATGTGCGCTACAAATCGACAAACTGCATCAGAAAGACCCCACTCTTCCCGAGATACTTCGAGGACGCAAATAGGCCTGTACGTCACCTCCTTACACGTCGGATCGACGACATAGCACTGGAATCAACACACACAATGATTCTTGCCCCACGAAGTACCGTTCATATTTGACACGAGTCTCGAACACTACACTCCGAAAGTCTACAAATGCGCAACCCCGGCATACCGTCAGCGTTGCAGCATACAAAAGCAGAAATAACGTTGTTATATGGCTATGAATACTGGGCCATGCGGTATGTGGTAAGATTATAGTACAAGTAAAGAGTCAGCCTAAGTATATTTCAAGGCCTCAAGGTATATGTATTAGCTACCTCCGTCTGTGTCTCGTTTCTGCGACCCGTGTCCACTGTAATGGAAGAACAAAGAATCTCCCGGCCTCGCTTCGCCCGTCAGCCACCCGAGCGCGTTAAGAATATTCCGTCTTGTCGGGTGAAAGCTGGTGTTCTGTATATACAAATAGGTGAGCAATAGTTGAATGAGTAGGGTGACAAGGTAGCTCAAATAGAATGTATTACATTGTCAGAGAGCGTGGGTAAAAAGCAACGTTTACTTGCTTTCGTTCAACAGTGCCCGCTAAATGGCCGAAGCCTGGGTATCGTTACTAGTACAACTCTTATCCTGCAACCACAGCGGCAAACCCCCGCACCTGTTGATCATCTGTCAGTAGCACAATATCTGCACTCTTAAACTGGAATTTGGTCTCCAGCAAGTACTTCATGCATTTGGCGTCGTTAATACAGCCACCCAGCTTCAACTGCTTGTCGTGCAGGTAGTTTATACCCACCAGAACGGCCCGTTTCCTACCCGATAGCGGGGGTACTCCCAAACTTTGGGCGTCTACAAACCCTTGCGCCGCAGGTAAATTCTGGTGGTTTGTGTTTGAGTGCCCTTGTGCTGGCGGGGTTGGCTGATATGGAAAAAGGCAAATCGAATAAATTAAGCTATGGCCTTTGCGGTTCCTACGCCAGAGTTTCTTCCAGAGACGGCGAGTTGGTTTCCGTGAAGTGCAGGCTACTTTAACAGCATGTAGATGCAAGTGCTCGAAGTCGAGAGGGGGAGGGGGGGGGGGAGAAAGGGGGTGAGGGGACGAGATCCTTCCGCTAATTCGATGAATAAATGGGTGTACTGTACAAAACATCTTGTAGAATTGTTAAGCAAAACAGTCCAGAGGAAAATGCACTTGACAACCGATCTGTGCTTTTATTGCCCTGTTACCCATAACTATTAAATGTTCTTGGAAAGAACACTGCAAAGGCACCTTGGCAACTTGTAGTCCGCAGTTATATCTAGACACTCTGAAAGCATGCACAGACTGACATACAAAGCAAATACATACCTGATAGAATGATGGCGGCGCTGGCTGCTGCCCATATGGTGATGGTGCTCGTCCGGGGGGAGCTTGCCCATATGGAGAACCTGCAAATGCAGATTGCATCATAACTTGACTTAGCTCCTCTGACGAGCTTTGGTAAACAATTTATTATTTCAAATATATATACACGTACAATACAATTGAACCACAATTCTACACCACAATCAGACAACATGTTATACACGACTATAACGTTTGAAACCATATATCAGTGATCACAAAATAAAATTCCATATATAGATGGTGT